ACAGTTATAGATTATTTTATATCTGGCTAAATGCAAGTACTGTATTGTATTAAAAAATTTTATTGTTTCATATCATGTATTGCATTACATATTATTCATTATATTACATTATTTGTTTCATGTTATGCATTACATTAAATTAAATTTTCTTAAAAAATGAAATCACTTTTTAAGAAATCATGAAAAATAGTAAAATAATTTTTTTACCTTTTCTTTATAAATTTAATAATATATTAAAACGATTTATATTTTTAGGTAAATTTTACTTATGAGAAACCTATAGAAGAAGACCTTAACAAACTTATTATTAATAATCGTAATAAAAATACTAGCTATTCAATATCAACATAGATTTGAGCCTTAGAAAAATTTCATTCAGATGTAAAATATCAAGGCCTTATTGAAGAAATAACTACAAAAGAAGAATTAGAAAACCAATTATATTGCTTTATTTATTTAATAAAAAAGTAAGATAAAACTGAGTATTATGCTTTCTCAGTTAATAATTGTCTTCATGTTTTAAATTGATATTTGAATAAAAAATTAATACTTTCTAAGTCAATCAATATTTTAGACAAAAAAGTATATTATAAGCTATGGTAAATTTTTAATGGTAAAGTAAAAAATCTAGCTAATCAAGGTCTTACAAAACATACTGGAAGTATAAGTTTTACTGAAGAGGAAATTTTACATATTATGAATTATCTAATTATAACTGGGGATACTCTAACTGGTTTATTATATTGGATGTTTTTTTTAATACAATTAATTCTATTAAGATTACATGGTAGTGAATACTTTAATTTATAATATAATAGTTTTTCACGAAAAAATAATTTTTATAAAGGATTTAAAGTAATTCTTTATAAATCTAAAACTAATCAATATGGTGTTAATAATATTAAATCATAAGGTAAAAAATTATTTATTTCTAAAATACCTAAAATTATTGAAATATATAAAAAATATTTTACTAAGCATTCAGTTCAAGTAAGCTCAAATTTTTATTTGAAACTATGCAATATTATGAATGTAAGTATTAATATAAATAATTTTGAGTAAATTTATTCATTGCAAGTGTGATATCATCACCTTCTTTTTGTCACCTATGTCACACTACCTCCCTTTTTCATTTTTCATATATATTCTAGAGACTTAGAAATTTTTCATATGTAAAATCCTATTTGTCACATATGTTAGTATCATATGATTTAGAGTTATGTTAGGATTAGGGTAATATATATATATATAAAGGTAATGTATAAGGAATATCATCTTCATGATGAATAAATTTACTCAATAATTTTAATTAGAATTTATTTTTATTAAAATAATTATTTTTAATTTAAAATTTTAATATAGTTGAATTCAATGGACAATAGTATTATAAAGATCAGATTTCTGAAAAAAAACTTAAATTATTTATAAAATAAATAGCTATCTATACAGATATTAATTTGAATGATCATAAAATTAGTAATATTTAGAACAAAAAACTTTTGTTTAAATATTAAAAAGGTTAAATTTTTCTAATACCGAATGTATGACAAGTTCAAAACATAAATTTGAACAAAGTTTGGCAAGATATGAGTGATCAGAACCTGAAATGCAATATAATAATACAATAAAACTTACTTAAACATTTGGATTTAAAACTGCAGATAATGATAATAAAACAAGTATGTAAAGTATATTTATTCTTCTAAAATTATTAAAATATTAATTTTTATTATTATTATATAAATAGCATCAACAAATTCTTTATCGACTTCAAATTCCCTATTATCTTCAAACTATTCTATAACAATACAAGATAGATTAACATTAGCAAAGTTATTTATTAATAATAAATTTCGTATTATATATATTTTTTATTATTATTAAATTAAGAATTATTAATTTATTTTTTAAAAAAATAGATAAAAGTATAATTATTGATTATTTTAACAACCACTTCAAGAATTAAATAAAATTTAAGATCAACAAAATCATCTGCAAGGATTAAAAGAATTAGTTTCAAAATTGATTACTGATAAAATTTTTATTAATTCTATAATTATTTTTAATAATTCTAACGCTAATAATTAACAAATGTATAAAATATTATTATGTATTTTATTACTAGCTTAAATATATATTATATAGTTTATTATCAATATAAAAAGTTAATTTGTAGTTTATTTGTGATATTATAAATAATATTAAAAAAAAAGATTGTTTACATCATATTGGTGAGTACAATAATTATATGTGAATGATTATAAAGATAAATGTAAATATTTAATCAAATATACTTTGTGGTTAAGGCCTATTAAGTCTATCTCCTTGCATTTTTTCACATAGAATCGAAATATACTTCAGTAATATTGTCTAAACTAGTATTGCTAGAAATGTTAGACATATTTGATCAATTATTCTAAAGATTTCTAATCTCTGATACACTTGTATTACATTTTATATATGCAGTAAGCTTCTGTGATAATAAGAAGAAGTTAACCCATTTAGTGTTCTGAATTTTTGGTCTTGTCTATAAGTCAAGCAAGAAATTGGTAAAACTATTTTTTGTTCAGCATAAGTTTCATAGCTATTTGAACAATCATAATAACTATATGATATCGATACCAATTTATCTTTCTTTGAGTGTGAAAGAGATTGAGATGAAATCTCTAGCTAAAGACATTTTATTTCAGCCTCTTCTCATAATATATGCTGTTTATATTGCCAGATTTTATATTCCCTACTATCAATAGATTGAAGAATTTCTTCTCTTCTTGCATGTTCATTTTTTATTGATCTATCAATTCACTAAGGAGTATAATACATCTCTTAAAGTGGTTATCTTGATTATTATGAAAATCTAAATATCTTTCAGGTATAAATATTAGGGAGTTATATATACTACAATATATATAATTTGTTTTTCTTATGCTAAGATCAGACTCTTTACCTATTTTTTCCGTATATTACAATATATCCATTCTTAGAAAGGATTCTTGGATTCTCTTTTGAGTATTTTTCTAAATGGATCATGAATACAAGAGCACCACATTTCTGGTGTTTCATGGTTATGTCTCTTTGCTAAAAGACCTATTGCAGTACTTATTCTTCTATATTCTTCAAAGTTTACATTACTAGAATAAACTTAAAATAGGCTCTACTATCCAAATCCATATTTAGAAGCGTTTAGGAAGATTTACACTTTTTATTGATTTACAGATATTTTTAGCAGTTTGTAACAAGTATATTATAATAAAATATCAGATTCATTTTTATTTGATACTGGAGGATTTTATTAGTTTGCGAATCACTCATGATTTAAATGCTATGCATGAATTACTTTTATTTAACAATACAGATACACATGAATTAAAAAACTAGGCCCAATGTGGGCAAAACTTTATTTTGTTTCAACTGCGTCATGTTTACAATACTACATATAAAAAAAGTGCTAAACTTTACATCATGGCTCGATCTAGAAATTCGGGTATCATATGATGTTAAGCTAACTTGGCGCGATATCAGGTGATAAGTATGAAGATTCTTCACGGTTCTTTATTAATATACTGTACATGCGAGCAATGAAAAATAAATACAAAGTTCAGGACGTAGCCCATAGTACATGACATCTATCTAACGTACAAGGGTGAGCGAAACCTATTCCTTAATAAAATTTTCTGTCCTTATTCTCTTACTAGCAGGAGAGTCATCAACTTCTACCCTATCTTTTAACAAACCAATGATTACTTCCATAACCTTTTTAACACCTCGGCAAACACACCATCTTCTATAATTTCCTTAGTAAGGGCGATGTGATAATCAGCTTTCGTGCAATAATTCCTCTCTGGCGTGTACATGATGAAGTGTCAATCTGTGGAATATAGATGAGAGTTAGTAACATCTTACATTACGCAATCGTGGCTAAAAAAATCTCACCTATTGTAACGATCCCACAGAGGTAATCGAAGTATCCTCAAAAGCTTCAGGCGCCTTTGTTTTCTCTTATTCGTGTGGTAGAGCTTTTGAGTTGCATCACGTTCTGTATAATACCCAAGACCTCCTGGTCTTCCCTTCGGTGATGAAAATAAATCTAATTGCGTAATCGACTCATCCTATTGCTTCTTCGCCAACCTCAAACTGTCTCTAGGGAGATTCCCTTCTTGTGATAATGTAAATGGCAGAAAGCGACACCAAAATTCCATAGAGAACTCTGTGTAATACTTTCCCTAATAAGCTCCTTTTCTGACGAGATCCATCCAAATAGCTACGTGTCGTCTAATAAAATGATAAATTATTAGCTATTAATCCTATTATTATTTCGCAGAAATTTCTTTCATGAAGTAGTACATCATCTCTACTACTTACGTAATGAGCTCTTGTAAGATTGATAAATTTTCATTGCACTGCTCCCCACTGAAGTTTGAATATTTTCGATTAATATTCCCAGCGACCTCTCCAAAATTCTTTCTTTTGCCTTTTTAGATGGCCATAGTATTCAGCATTTCGTTCTTTACGCTTATTAATAAAGAGGCGGTCCTGTGAATCAGTCCACTGGATAGTCAGCATATTTTTTATGGTAAAAAATGTTCGTAAAAAAAATATTGATGAAATAATAATGGTGGCTTGGTTGCTACCAAAATCTGATTAGCGGATCATTTCATGACCAAATATTTTGCATGTAAAGCATAAAATACAGATTGAAATTTTTTAATTATTATAAGAAAATAAGCTATGTTACATAATTTTTTTACTATATAAATTAATTCGATCTAATGAAAGCAAGACTAAGCACATCCTTCACATAACCAATTAATTTTGACATTAAATCATCAAACAAACATTGGAGGAAATGAATTCTCATAATCATCATTAAAATGACTAATAAATTGGTCCACTTGTTGCTGTTCAGCTAATCCAACATAATCTCTCAACAATCTTAGTCTATTGCGAATATCCATATTGAATAATTCTTGTTCGGATAAATCATCGATAATTTCTGACATTCTATCTTCATTTATTTCAATACGTTCGAAAAATTTTGTTTTCTTAAGAAGAGGAGGTACAGAAACTGTTGTGTGGGTAACCAACTTTCCTAACCAACCATTAAGTCTATTGGTTTCTTCAAGCACGATCTGTTTAATTACTGCTAAGGCCACACCACGGTTATTGATTTTACAAATCGCCATTGTTTGTTCATCGTCTACTATCAGGAAGAGAAATAAGATCCAATTGTCACCGCAATCAGTAAGAACAGTCATTGAATGTGTTGGATGGAGTTTATCAATCAGAAATAATTCTCCCATGGCTTGGCTTTCTTTGAAATTTGTAAATTTTATTTTTGTTTCAATCCAGACGACAGGCGTTGCACTTGGGCCGATGGAAATATCACAACCACCTTTTATAATAGTATTTGCTCCTTCCAAATGTATTTGAATTTTTGTTTGTGAGTGGACATCTTTCACTTGACAACCTCCTGGCAATTTTAATGCTTCCTTAAACCATTTAACAACTCTGTCCATTTGTGATGGTTCATCTTTATTTTCGTCCCATTTGAATGGAGAACACGATATGGGTTCAAGTGAATTGAAGTCATCCGCACATAGCTGATTAATAGATAAGTGATAAGTGATTAAGGGTTATAAATAATACAATAATCTGATAAGAAACTTACAACAATAGTTCTCATCCCAATCTTATTCATAATTTGTTTAATTTTAATATCGGATAGATTTGATGCAGAGATCACCTCAGGATTTTTTTGGGAAAGTTCTTCACGAACAGCACTTCTTATAATCTCTCTTAAATCTTCTTTCTGAAACCCTTTTTTGGGGGGGAAAGAATGTTAGTAAATTCCGCAAAAAAGGTTAGCGCTTCACGTTCGAGTTGACCAATCATTACGACATAAAGGCTTACCTTGATGTTCATCTAAATTGGGTTAGAATATTAGATTATCGAAAAAAGTTAGTTTATTTATTATCGTTATAATTCGAGCACGCAATAAAGTTCAAAAAAAAGTTTTAATTTTACCTAATAGAAGTGTATTAAGGGAAGCTTTAATTTCTTCTTCATTTCCTTCGAAATATTCAAGTCGGTTCTTCATATCTATCCTTAAAAGTCGACCTTTGATTGTACCACGCATCTTGCTGTCGGTGAAAAGATTTTCTAATTTCAACTTTGCGTTCTTCCACTCGTTATCCATTATCTGTTATTATTAAAAGTAAAAAAATTTTTTTCTAGGTAGAAGTAAATATAATAAAAGCCGATTTTCGACTACATATATATATGATTCGGAATAAACTTTTATTAAACTTCATTAATTATTTGGAACGCGTTGTAAGTCTAAACTTTGTTAAACTTTATTGATTGTTAGTTGAGAACACGTCTTGTAAGTTCGAACTCAATATCGTATCATCGGCTGATAAAATACACTTATTAATCTAGACATCTAACCCTACCTAATATCATTAAAAAATCGAGTCATAGTGAAATGTTTTGATTATACATGTATACATTATATAATTTTTTCACTGATTAATAAGGTATATTTTAAAATAATTGTTATATAATTGCTTTCCTCTAAGTATTCAATTATTCTAGTAAAATCTTTTAAGATACTTATTAATTTACTTATTATTTTCTATTCATTATTAGTTAAATTTATATTCTAACCATTTTTTATCTTATCATATATTAGAATTAATCAAGATAGATGTTAAAATATCAATAAGTTTTTAATTTTTATTATGCAAAGTAGTTTAAATTTATTATATTTCTATATTAATAATAATTTGAAGATACTTATCATTTTTCTTCAATTTCTATATAATAATAGAATTATATTATTTTATTATAAATTGTAATTAATTATTTTTACAATATATAGAATATAAAATTGTTTAATTTTTATTTTTTAATTCAAAAAAATTGTAACAAATTAATAATTAAATTATAAACTAAGATATTTAAACTATAAATTAGTATAATAATTAATATAATACTTTAATTTATTAATTTATAAAATGAAAATAAAGTTATAAAATTATTACAATTATAATTAAAAAAATTAAATTAAATAATACATATTCTTAAATAGATATACTAATTAAATTTTAATGATTTTACTAGTTTTTTTTATTTATTTTAGTATTATAAAAAAATATATAAGTCTTTTAGCTCTTGCAAATAAAACTTTAACAGTAAGTAAACTTTTTTCTATAACTAATTGTAAGGTATATATTATATAGGATAATCATATAAATTTACTCATTAATTTTTAGCTTGAATATTTTAATTATTATTAGTCATTATTATAAAAACCTTATTATTTAGATTCCAATCAGAAATAATTTTACATATAATTCTACAAATATTAGCACTAGTATAGGGATAAGATATATATTTGACTGATAAAATTATTTCATAAAACTTTAAAATTATTATCAATAAAAAAGTATGTAATACCAATGTAACTAAATCTATTTTAAGCTATTTAACAATCTGTTATTATAGAATAAGAAAGAATATTTATTAAATATTCTTGTTAAGAAAACTTTAATTTGATTATATGTTTCATTTAATAATTAATTAAATTATTTTATTACTTAGAAATTAATAATTTAGATCAAACTCATAAATAAATTTAATAATCCTTTCATTTTTGTATATATTATAATCCTTAATTAAAATTCCAATAAATTTCCAGTTTTAATTATTTTTAATATTTGGATTATTTCATATTATCTCATTTATATAGGGCTGTATTATCTAATTATTATTTATATTTCATTTATTTTTTTTATGACTTTCTTTAATAATTTGATGTATAACAAAATAAACAATAAAATTGCTAGGTAAATTATCAGATCCTATAAAATGATCATATAATTCTATACCATTTTTTTGTTGAACTTGAACTAAACACCTAACATTCCTTTTGTATGTCCATTTGATTTATATTGATTGAAATAACTTTATATTCAACTTTTTTCTGTAGCTTAACATTTGGGATTAAAACTAGCTGCTCAGTTATTTTTATTTAAATCAATTTTTGCTGGAATTTTCTTAACTTTCTACTGTTTCTATTAGTTTCCTGCTGACTATTTGTGTTTGTATCTGATTACAGGCTAAATGTTGTTAGTTTGATAATTTACATACTCTTTGATTTGGCCTTTTTGATCCGCCTGCTCTAGGAATCAAGGTTTCTAGCTGCGGAATCTCTGTAAATTCCTCACTGGATATTATTATAAAAGACTAGACTAAAACATAAGTGAGTAAATAATACCCTATTTTACTTATTTTAGTTTAGCGCGTCATTTATTTCGCGTTTAATGATCTTCTAATTTCTAAGTTACACAAATTAACCGTATAACAGATCCGTAATTCCTTATCCATCAGCTAAAATTGATATGCAGAAATCCGAGATTTTGTATTCACGGATTTGACCACTATCCTCCACTCTGCTTTGGACAAATAAAGTTAAAGCTGAAATCAAGCTTTATTAACAATAAAAAAATTTTTTGATCGTCCATTATTAAATTATTAGTAATACACAGATTGCACGAATCATCATTTTTACGTGAAATTACATATTACTAAAGATGGTTACTCGGTCCTGCAGATTTGGTTTAAGACCCAAATTTGGTTTTATTTCAATCCGACAATTAAGAATTTTGTGACCGAAACCAGTATTTTCTCGGTCTTTTGCTAATTTGGTCTTAGAAAATGTATCGGCCCCTTTACCAATCGGCTGCGTCAAAAATTTCAGGTTGCAGATCATTATTTTTTTTTCTATAAAGACCGAAGACATACTACCCATAAAAGTCAAAATTGACCTTCTAAATCTATTTTAGTAAACTTATAGACAAAATTTTAAATTGATAAACATTTGTGCGTCACTGTTGAATTTCAATTTTCGTTTGATGTGTTTAAGATAACAATTAAAAATATAATGTATTTATATACAAAAATAAGGTTTATTAGTAGAATTTTGCATATATCCAAGATTAATCGATAGGCAAATTTACCCTGCAATCAAAATTAATTATCGGAATATCTGATTATGGCAACCGAAATATGTCTCAATGATCATTAGATCACTCAATTCAGCAATATAAATAATCTCGCATTTCCATCTTCACTCTCAACAATTTATCAAAAAGATAAAAAATAAAAACATTATCTATATAAAACTTTCATTTTTACACTTACCTTCTTCCTTAAGACATCATGAAATTAAATCTTCTTCTCGCAATCCTCTTGACGCTTGTCGTTATTTCCCAAGCAGCTCCTACAGGAACCATTGAAGAAAGAAGCGATTGTCCTCCTTACACGGAAGCTGCTTCAAGTTGTGGTATTGGACATTAACACTACAAAAAGTACATTATATTTTCAATTTCTTATTATTTGTTCCTGATTTTGAATTTCTGAAAGTAACCCGTATTTTACATTTTGTTTCAGATCTCGTTTTTATATTTAATGATATGCAGAATCATTACGGCACATCATTTAGTACATAGTTTTTGAATTTTTGTTTGTAAAATTTTGTTTGTTATTTTGAAAGTGACCCTAAAAATTATTAATCACATGTGTAATATACAAGACCTGTTCAATGTTAAAAAATTTTTTTATCGCTTCTTTTATTAAAATAGAGAAAACAATTCCTCAATTCCTTATGAAACTTCATATAGACTAAATAAAACACGCAAAATATTTATTTACAAAACTTAAAACAGAAGAAATGAAAGTGTAAAATGTGAAAGCATCAAAATTTAAATCTTTTTATACAATTATAATAATGAGATTATTTTATAATATTTAGCATAAATTTGTTCAAAGTTCTGTCCTAATAATAAGCGGTAAATTGAAGCATGGAAGGTGCAACAGGCTGTGATAATTAAATCCTAACTGTTAAACGTAACGATGTATGAGGGTGCACACTGTGTCCCATGTGTAAAATACAAATTCTCAAAAATTAATACCTGTAAATCGTCCAAGATTAGATTCGTGCAACGCTATATTATTTTATTAATTAATGCTTATAGAAATAAATAAATAATATTTACTGCATAATTGAAAAATAATAATTATCAATTTATTCATTTAAGTTAAATTCGATCAAAACTTACTATATTGTTAAATTCAATTGAAACATTATTATTTTCAATAAACTTTATAAACTATCGAAAGTAGTCATAATCAATCAATCTGATTGGTCGGATATTCGAGATGTATTCGCAATTTTCTATGTATTAGGGGGCAACGATTTATTTCAGAGCAAAAGATATCTCAATTCTCTGGCTAAGATAGATCGAAAGATAAGGTAAGTTAAGTAGTTAAGTAATCATTTATTGTCCATTCGTACCTCACTTCGATCATCACGGATTTGTATCGAGACGAAAATTGAAACGGAACCTTGGTTGATCCTGGAATGCATCGAACTTTCCCATAATACTAACACATGATCCAGATTTCGTGATGCTATCATCGATTCTAAGAGATTTCCTATATTAAATAAATCCTTTTTAAATGATAAATTAATTTAATAATTTTGGCCAAAATTATAAACGCATAATTACGCATGCATAATTTGGTATTTACACAGTATAATCCTGGATACTCTAGCTACTATACTTCACCTCATAAAACATCACATGTAACTAATACATATACTGTATGATCATTTATTTATATTGTACGTATATGTGAAAAATAGAGACTATCAAAGGTAATATAAATAAAAAACCATGAAAAAAATAAATATCGTACAGCGAAGCGGTCAAAAAAGGCAAAAAAAGCGAAAAAGGCGAAAATGACGAAATGGTGGCTAACCAAGTGAAAGATCAAGAATCGTATAGTAAACTAGCGAAAGACTTGTATAATAAAGCGTGCGTTGCTGAGCATCAATTTTGTCGTTGAGTAAGCAAGTCACGAATACACTAGCAAGGATGATATTGATAAATTTTCTTGCAACATAGCAACAATACTTGCAAGAGATAAAGAGGTAGTTGCAGTATGGTTGGTACCTACACCCAGTAATGTGTATTGGAAGCTGGAAGCACATTTGGACTTCCAAATCTTCCAATTCCAATCATACTTCCAATTCCAATAAATTTTTATTGGAAGTTTGGAAGCATATTATCACGTGACATATTTTTTATCCAATAAAATCAAATGAAATTTTATATCATTGAACTTGCAAATAAATATACGAAATTATATAAATTAATTTAAATTTTCATTTCTTTTTATAATAACTAATACAAGAATCGTAATTACAAAGTAATAAAACGAATTTATTTATTTTTTTTTTTGTTAAATTCCAAAAACAGAAAAAAAATTTAAAGAACTTATTTGAAAAGAAAGTAAAAAAAGTAAAAAAAAAGAAAAAAAATTTTACTATTAAAAAAAGCCCTTAAAGAATCCAACCTATTCAAGAGAAAGAACTGTTTCTAAAGAATCTTTTTATATATACCAAAACAAAATTTCTTCCATCTAGCAGATAAAATTCATATCTACTCCTAAAAAAAAAAAAGAAAAAGGTTAGTAAAAATAATGAATTTCTTAAAGAATTCCCAAATAAAGACTTACCTATCTGAATAAAAATAATAAGGGGTATCTGATAATTTTTCTTTAGTTCAAATTTGAGAAGTAGAAGTTTTACTATTATTATCTTTTGGCTGGCAGAGTTTCCTATTTCCTCATTTTGACAAGAATGAAAGATCCGCTCCTAAAAAAAAGAGAGTGAGTTAGTAAAAAAAAGAATTATCCTAAAAAAAATCCCTTAAAAAATCATCTGAAAGACTTATTTTATCCAAAAAAAATAAAAAATCTGTTCCTAAAAAAAGAAAGGGAATTAGAAAAATAGATGAAGTAAAATAACGAAATCTACTTAAAGAACCTCAGAAGAAGGCTTACCTTTTCTGATGAAAATGAAAGATTCCATTCCTAGAAAAATGAAAAAAGTTAAAAAAATAAAGAAATAATAAAAAATCCACTTGAAAAAAGACTTACATATTCTAAAGGAACGAAAGATCCATTCCTAAAAAAAGGAGAAATATTAATAAATAAAAAAAATAAACATTTTGAAAACCTTCTGAAGAAGCCTTAAAAGATTAACCTTAAAGACTCAAAGCGAATGCCCTATATAATAAAAAAAAATTAAATAAAAAAATTAAATAAAAAATTTAAATTAAATAAATATTTATTACATTGTAATTTCAGTCTTTGCGTTAGATATTATTAATAAAAAAATGAAAAATTTAATTAAAAAATAAGTTAATTATTGAAAATTAATAAAATGAAAGAAAAACAAATAAAAAGAAATAAAACACTTACCTATTTAAAAAAAGAATTAAAGATATATATATATATATATCAAAAATTAATAAACGAAAATATAAAAAAAAAATTAAAAATTAAACAAAAAAAAAAAGAATTAAAAAAATTATATATATCAGAAAAAAAATTAAATGAAAAAAAACGAAAAAAGAAAATTTAGAAAATTAACAATGTAAAAAACGAATAAAAAAAAAATAAAAAAATAGAGAAAACAAATTAAAAAAAAAAATAAAAAAATAAAAAATATAAAATAAATTAAAATAAATTAAATATTAACAAAAAAAATAATGAAAATAAATGAAAAAAAAAAATTAAAAAAATTAAAAAAAAGGATCATTCGAAGTGATCGATAATCAAAATTGATGAATTTCAAATGAAAACTATATATTGAACGAAAAAACTGCCAATTCTTCTACATTTAAGTAATCAGGAGCATTGAGAGTTGAATTGAATAAATTTTTAAGCTTCATTTTGCTTTTTTGTCTTTTGCTGAATGTATATATTTGTTTAAAAGATTACTTTTCATATTGATATTTGAATTATTTCTTAACTCCTCTTCCTCTTCTAATCGTGCTAACTCTTCTTCCTTTAACATTTCTTTTTACTCATTTAATTCTTGTTCCCAATGTTCAGAAGTAATAAAAGTATTATCTTCATCATTATCATCAATTTTCTCAACAAGAACTTCAGAATCAGTTTCAATTAGAGAAGCATTTGAATCTAAAAATTTGTTGTAATTCTTTTTCTCTTAATGAAAAGTTAATAGATGCCTGAAGTTGACTCATTGCTAATACTTTATCATTCTATTAAAATAAAATAAAAATAATAAATATTTGGCAAACAAATATAAACAAAGATACATTATCAAATAAATAAAAAGATCCGCTATCAAAATAAAGAAATAAAGAATTCATCAATAAAATAATTTCGCCATCAAATAAATTAAAAAGAGTATGAATAACCTGTTATCAAATAAACAAATAAAGAAATCCATAATCAAATAAAAAGAAATTAATAAACTATTATTAAATAAATTAATAAATTGCCATCAAAAAAAATTAAATAACTGTTATTATAATTAAACATAAAATTAATTTACCTTTAATCTATTACGACGAATTGTATGTAAAAAACTTATGGAAGATCATATTCATTCAACAGAAGTTGCATTTACACACATGCCAAAAAGTTTTAAAGCAACTGCAACTAATTCTTTATAATCCTCTTCTACATATCCCCAAAATTTAAAGGCATTATCTTCAAATTATTCAAATGTTTTATTATTAAATGGTTCAACTTTCTGACGAAAATTCTCAAAGTCTAATAATAATCGTAATAGGCATTTTCTAAATTATGCTTTATAATAATATATCAAATACTGTCTCAGAGAAGTAAATGACAAATTATCAAGTTCAGAATTAAACTGATATTTTAGATGAAGTACAAAGGAAAGTAATAATAATAGTTGCTCCCATTAGTTCTAACATTTTTTTAATTGATTAATCATTTGATTTTCTAAATCTAATTTGAAAAATGTTTCCAAAATTGCATAAAATAACCAAAGGCATGAAGCACTTCAAAAAGACATATTTTATCACATTATAACTTATTTACAACACCGTAATAAGGTAATAAAATATTTTGTAAAAGTTCAATTTTTTTCCACCAATCATTATCAAGAAGTATTTGACAAAATTCTGGATTTAGATAAAGTTCATTGGTATTTTTTGAACTAATTTGTGAACATTCGTAATGAATTGCTAAATTCTAAAAATTAAATAAAAAAAAATAATTATTATAATACATTGATAAAATTGCATTTTTTCAGCGATAGATTTTCCTTTTATGTTTGCTACATTATTAGTGGCGTAAAAATGAGTGAATGCAATAATTATGTTGAATTGTCAATCATTCGCATTCTTGTTGGAAGTCAAAGCTTCAGCTTCATCCATTTTGTCTGACCAAGTCTATTTATTTTTTCTTTGAGAGATAGAAGAAGTATTCGTTGGTTTTGATTCGCTGATATTATTTATTTGTTTTGCATGCATAGAGTCTTTTGTTATTTGAAGGGGAATAGGTTGAATTGTTTTTGTAATGTTAGAAGTTGAAGAGACAATATTGTCTATTTCATATCTAAAGATTTAGTTGTGCTATCTTCAGTATTATTAGGAGGTGTTTGGTTATTATTGTTAATAGTAAGAATAATATTTTCAATAATTTTGTTAATAATTTTTGGAGAAGAAGTTTCCATATTTTCTAGAGTAAATTTTTGTTTTTTATTGTTTGTCAAAAGAGTTTCTAATAAAGTTTGTTCGTTAGACTCTAAACTAGAATTCACAGACTATTCACTGTTATTTCTTTGTATTGTTTATTTATTTTTATTGTACGGTTGTAAGTTATTTTGAATATAGTTTTTTATTCTGATTTTTGACATGATAGTTACAGGTGAAAGTTTGACCTACCTGATTGAACCAATAGATGATGAGATATTTCAAAAAGAATGATCAAGTATAATTCCATAGATCATTACCAAACGAAGTCATAATTTTTTAATGCGAATTAGCGATTGACTGACTGTAATTACAAAAATGATAAAAACTATAAAAACTATCATAACGACAAAACTGATGATAATGTCATTAACGAATTTAAATATGTTTACATAATTAATGTGATTTACTTAGTTAAACTTATTAATTAAGTTAACAATAATTATAAGGTTTCTGTAATTCATTAAGTTGTACTTTATCTTAATTTAGTAATAGAGTTAGATCCAAAGTTTTATATAAATAGAAAAGGAATTTCATGTATTCTCATGAGTTAGTTTAAGTTAATCTTTAGTAAATTATAAGTCAGTTAATTATTCAGTTAATTAAGCTAGATAGTCTTGATATTAATTATTAAATAGTTTTTCTAATACAGTTTTGATATAGTTTAGTTTATTGTTTATTCTTTAATTTTGTAAGTTCGCGAATAAGAGCTTATTTAAATTATTGAATGGTATTGATCCCAATTTCTCTAATTAATAAAATCAACCTTTTATCTTATAACTTTAATTAGTTAACTCATAACATAAAATCCAATCCATCTTATAACTCTCCTATATAAACATATATATTGATTGTAGTGATTTACATTGATAATTCTATTGACACCAATAAGACTTTAGAATTGTTGACATAAATTGTTATCCTTCAGATATCTAAAATGTTGCTATACGTGTTGAAGTCTATTTTTCAGTCGGTAGACTTCGCAATTGACTTATATAACAATATATACTACAATATATGTAATTTGATGGAAGACCATGGACTTTATCATGTTCATATACATAATTAAGTAAATAAAATATAAGTAAAATAAATATACTAGAAATAATAGAAATACGTAAAATAATGAAAATATAAAATATAATAAAAATAATAATAAAAATTAGAATAAGTATAACACTAAATATTCTTAAACTTTGTTTAATTTATAAAATTAGAATTATCTTCAGTATAGTAGCGGTCATAAGTATCTGACTGCCTCTAACTCTGGCTACAAATAAGTAAATTCAAAATTTTTTTTTTATTTAAAAAATACATAACCAACTAACTAAAATTAATACATTGTGTAGTCACC